AGGGAGGGCTAGGAATGGGGAAACAATAAGAATCAAGATGCATTATGTAAAGGTACAATTCCCAATGAGAAATGTAATTGTGTTGTATACCTAAAATGTACCAATAAAAGAATTTAACAAAAAAAAAAGAAGAAAAAAATACCAGGTTAGAAAACTCAAAATATCTAAACCAAACTGAGAAAAATTCCACTAATTTGAGATTATTACCACAGGATAAATGTCCTTCTTTATACCCCACAGTGTAGGAGAGATCAACAAACTCTCTCGGGGCAATTATATCCCAAAGCTGACCAGCAGTAGTGTAACGCATCACACAGCAATTCTGAAAAAGAGATAAAGTAAGAAAAGGTGTTACTAGTATCAGAGAGGGATACACACCTAGGCTCATATATCATAAATTAATCTCTAGTAAAAAGTAATACTTAAAATGTTTTATTTTTGTAATAATTCTTATACTGCTCTTGTGTGGATATGGAGAAAGTAGATAATCAAAATATATAGAGGACAAGTCACTCAGTATTCCAAGCTTTACTTACTTAGTCATTAATACTGAATTCCTCTAATGTAGAACATTATCCTGCATCATATGGATTCCACCAGTTAAGGAGTGTAGACTATTTTACAGTGCTGAAGATAAAAACCTGCAAGAACTTTGATGGTGGTATTTTTAGTATTTTAGATTTCTAGAACCTTAACTAATGTATTACAATTAAAAATGCTGAAGATTTTCGTATGTAGCTAGGGTAGAGCTATTATGGCAAACAAAATTCAGTCCTAACATTCATTAATTAATATGAGGAATTTCTAGCTTTTTAAGAGACAGCACATGGTTCCCCTATGGTATCATGGCTATGACTACTATTCTCAAAGCAATGAATTCAAGTGTATATAAATGCTCATATTCACATCCATGCATTTGTGCTCTCTCTCTCTCTCTCTCACACACACACACACACACACACACACACACACAGATCTGAATTAATGATTCTAAACAGATACCTCTTCAAAGTTCTTCAAAATATCCAATGAAGTCATTAGGCGGTCCCAATCCAAACGGAAAGGCCCTGGGCGTATATGGTCTATTATAACATTGACAACATCATCTACAACACCTTGGGCTTTGTAGCTGAGCAAAAAAAAAAAACACTATTAAAATGAAAAATTTCAACATGCCCTCACAGTTCATAGCTAACTATAAAAGCAAGAGTAAAAATTAATGAAAATGCCCTTTGTTCTCAAATCTAGTTAGAGAACTGAAGGCTATCCTATATGTCACCATGGACACAGCAAAGCCCTTTCCTGATATAAGGCATGATCAAAAAATACAGTGAATGATTACATTTTTAAAATGTATTACAGTGAAAAACACATTGCCTTTAGGCCCCCTCAAAATACCCCCCCCCCATCGCAAACATACTTATCTCATCAGTCTTGCTACTTTGTGAAGCAGTTCTGGAAGTTATCCTTCATGTAGCTGATTGTGCTATCTAGGCTGCCTCCATTTCCTGAACTGATTCAAAACATTTACCTTTTATGATCATTTTTGCTTTAGGGAAAAGCCAGAAGTCGCACTGTGCCAGATCCAGTGAATAAGGTACATAAGGACACATCATAGTATTTTTATATATCTCCTTTTCCACTGGATGGCATTTTGTAACAGCATTCACTGTATTTCTTTAATCACACCTTGTAAAAACCTACAAAAGAAGATTTCCAGAAATGCTCAGAAAGTGGAAATAACAATGGAATAAATGTGCTCAAAGAGAGGGAGGAATATTTTGAGGAGGATTAATGGTGATCTGTCTTTTATTGTAATTTTTTTAAACTTTCACTGCATATTTTGGTCACCGCTTGTAGAGGGAAAAGCAGTCTATAGAATACTATAATACATCCATTTATATTGCTTATTTTCTCTCTCCTCAATTATCTTCAAAAATATTAATATATATATAGTTGGGGTTTTTTGCCTGACTTTTAAAAACTTTTTTATTAAGTATAGAAAAATAGAACAATAGGGGCCAGGGATTTAGCTCAGTGGTTCTGGCACTTGCCTTGCAAGCTCAAGGTTCTGAGTTCGATCCCCAGTACCAAAAAAAAGAAAAAAAAAAAGAAAAATAGGACAATAGAAAAGAACATGGAGGAACTGGCTCCCAAATAGGTTGGAACTTGGCATATTTCAAAGGTGCCATTACATAAATGTACTATTCCATAAACGGTGCTCAGATTCAATGGTTATCATTATGGAAAAAATAAAACCTGCACCCTCACTTCACACAATTCAAAACAATGCCAGATAGGTTAAATATTTCTGTGTACAATGTAAAACTCTGAGAAAAATATATACAAGACTATATCTTCATAACATCAGAATACAGGAAGATTTCTTTTTTTTGGTACCGGGGATTGAACTTGGGACTGTATGCTTGCGAAGCTGGCACCTGAACCACTGAGCTAAATCTCCGGCCCCAGGAGGATTTCTTGAACATAAAAAATACAAAAAGTACAAAAGATTACTTACAATTTAAAATGTGCATATTATACATGAAAAAATAAGTAATTTTTGAAACTACTTATAGACTAGGAAAAGATATGTGAACCCACATAAACAGACATACAATTACTATTAAGGACACAGGAATAATTCCTATAAACCAATGAAAAAAAGACAATCCAAAGAAAAGCCGGGCTAAAGACATTTTAAGATTGGCCTCAAATGTGAAGAAATAATATAAAAGATGCACAACTTCACTAGTAATCAAGTACATGCTAATAAGATACCATCTCATTCATACACCTCCAATGGCAAAGAATCAAAACTTGATAACAAGTATTGAATGGAGGAGGATGACACTCCTACACTGCTTGCTGCTTTAGAAAGCAATCTGGCAATGTCTAGTAAAGTTGGATGATATTCATCCCAAAGACCAAAAGAAAAGCACATGTGTGCACAGGAAACATGAATTTTTTTTTTTGGTACCGGGGATTGAACTCGGGTCCTTGTGCTTGCGAGGCAGGCGGTGGAACCACTGAGCTAAATCCCCGGCCCTCAGGAAACATGAATTTAAAAGTGAATATAGCAACATTCTATAGGAATATGCCACAATCTAAAAATCTATCAATAAGCAATGTGCAAACATAAACACATTGTGGCAAATTCATATAGTGAAAGAAGAGATCTATATGTGATAATGTGAGTAATCTTAAGAAAATAATGTGGAATGGAAAAAGTAAAAGGTAAATTACCAAATTAGACAGACAAATTTTTATAAAAGTATATCAAGTAATGCATTTCATCGTTTATCGACATATAAATGTGTAGTCAAAGTATAAAACAAGAATAATACACACAACTTTATGATAGCAGTTACCTCTGGAGAAAAAGAAGGGACATGGAATATGAGATGGTTTGGTTTCTACTCTATCAGTAACTTTTTTGTGTTGGTACCAGGATCAAACTCGGGACCTTGAGCTTGCAAGGCAGGCAGTGGCACCACTGAGCTAAATCACCGGCCCTATCAATAACTTTTTTTTAAAAGCATCTGAAGCTGTTTAATCATCTTATAAATATCTCAAACCAAACTTACCTACCCCATCCTAAATCTACTCTTCACTCCTGTGTTCTCTAAATTGAGATGGGGTAGGGAGAATAACTCAGAGTAATCCAGTCACACAGATTAGAAACTGGAATTCAATTTCCATTCTTTGTTCTCTTCAACCCACTGCCATAATCAGCATTAATCAATCGCCATGTTTTAATCAAGATGATTTCCCAAATATAAGTGCTTAGAACATTGTCTGGCTCTCAATACGCGCTAGCTATCATTACCATCCCCACCACTGTGAACAGCCCCGCCAGTGTTCAGCTTTTTCACGTTCACTTGCCCTTTTCAGTCCCATGCTACTGCCTTAGTTTGAGTACTCCGTGTCCGGCCTGATACTTCATTTGTTTCTACCTCTTTTTACTATATAATCTTTCAAGAATTTTTAAAAAGTCATAGATCTCTTCCTAGGAAAATACATATTGTTATAAAATTTTGTAGGCCACCTGAGAAGAAATCCAAGAAGCTAGTCATAGACCACTAAATAAAACCCTTTCTTAGACTCTTCATACTCATTTCCATCTTTCACAATGTTATCAGAGTAGATTCAAAGCCCTTTGAGGACCTGGGGAGTGATGGTGGAGTTGAGCAGATGGTAAGCAATACTGAATTCCTCAAGTTGGAATTCAATAACCCCCACCTACACATGCTTTCTCCACCCACATGCTTTATACTCCAGCAGTAGAAACACAATTCCCCAAGTGTTTGTAATCTGTTTGAGTAGTCAATGCAATTCCTTCCCCCTGGAATAGGAGTCAGCCCTACATTCCTTAAGAACAGCCATTCCTCTTTCAAGTCTCAATTCAGATATTTGCCTTTCTATTAAGTCTCTTCAAATCTTCAAGTATCATACTCTCTTGGCACTTTATACTTTCAGCCCTACTGGGAATTACTGATCTAAAAGATTAATTTCCAATTGTTTACAATGCCTAATCCAACTCTAGTTTCCCTATTCTTGTCACAAACGATGTACAACCCATCTTTTTGAAAATGTTATCTTTGGTGTTACAAGTCAGAACATTTTGTATATGCTAAGTGGAGCCAGCAGTTCCATTTTTTAAAAAAGGATGAGTCTTAAGGCTGTGTACATTCCACTCTAATTACACAGGACAACTGTCTCTACTGGCTTTAATATATATATATATTATATATTATAATATATATATAATTTCTGTGTTACAGGCATAATTCATGTTAAACTATAAGCAAAGATGAAAAACAGGGAAATAAAAATCATCCACAATACTACTATTTAGAATTGAATATTTGGTCTTAAGTAAAAGCCAAATTTTACTAGCAATAATCATTTAGTATCATGTCTATATATGTGGTTTAGTGATGTCTTTAAAATGACACAAAACTGATAATTTACTTACAGATAACCATTAAATTCTTCTGAGGGTTTTCTCCAAACTGTTACATCTTTCTAGAAAAACAAAACCATAATAATTACATACATGGAACCTTGGATTCAAAACCAACAATTTTGTAAGTCTAGAACACTTGTCTATGCATTAAAATAAAACTTTAAAGTTATCCATGCTATAAAGTGATCCACATTTGAATTTCTTCTATAGTAAACTGTGCTTAAATTACAGACTTTCAGTAAAGATTTTCAGTAGCTTAATGAGACTCAAACATTGTAAGATTCAGCAATGGTGCTATCTTAGTGGGCATTATTATTTGCTTCATTCCAATCTTATCTATTTACATTCAAACTATGCCACTAGAACATTGAACATCTCATTCTCAAATTGTTCACACCTTTTTAAAAATTAAATCATTCACATTCACTATGACTATGTTAAAGATAACACAATTAGTCCCTAAATTTTTTTCCAAATCATTTTCCAAGTAATTTTGAATATCAGAATAACTAGAGCACTAGAGCTCCCAAACAACCGAGACTAGAAGAATCTTGGCTTCTAGACTTGGCCATGACAGCACTTGGCTATGTAACAACCTGGGTAAGTCACGTCGGTAAAGACGAACACTAACTGGCACCTTTACCACTTCGCATTACATGATACATCTGAAACTATGCCAAATTATCAATTACTATAGTTCGTTCAAGTGATAATGATGCATTTTATATATTGACCCGAAAAGCTATTCTTTAGGCTCTAGTTGCCATGAATCTATTCACTCAAGTCTAATAATACCTAAAGAGCTAATTAAAGCAGTGCATGATTACTATTGAAATGCTTCTTCCTTTGTAAAGTAACCCACCAACCCTATTTGCACAATTATCTACCATGTACATCCATGGCCTTTTGTCTATATTTTCTCATACCATTTTGAAAATTAGTAGGGCCCAGTGGCACACACCTTTAATCCCGGCACTCTGGAAGGCTGAGGCAGGAGGATTACAAATTTGAGCTCATCCTGGAAAACTTAGCAATTTAGCAAGGCCCTGTTTTTAAAAAATTCCCCCCCCTCAAAAAAAGGGCTGGGGTTATAGCTCAATGCAAAGGCCCTGAGTTCAATCCCCATTACCACAAAAAAAGGAGGACAAGGAGGAAAAAGTCATCAACAACTAAGTGATTGGATATTGCCCCAAATGTAAGGAAGAAGCAATTGAACAAATGTACCGTTTTCTTTGCAACTCGCCACTTGTCATCTTCCATGTTATGGTACAGGATTAGAGTGTTTTTAAGTTTAGTCGAAAAAGACGCAACATCAGGCAGGTCTTCCATTTTCTCTTTCTGTTGTATAGAGACCAAGATTAACATCTGCAAATACTGCAATTTGATACTATAGACCACTCTGTCTTCACAATGTATTCTGCTGGGGGAGCTATAAAAGATACCTATCACCAGACCCTACCCTAAATGAATTAGTCTGACTCTCTGAGTAGGACCATAGCACAAATGTTTTTCTAAAAGCTCCCAAGGTGATTAAATGCTAGTCAGGGATAATAATCAAGCTTTATCACAGTTATTAAAAACATTCATACAAAATAATAAAAGAAGGGCCAGGGATTTAGCTCAGTGGCACTGCACCTGCTTCACAAATGCAAGGTCTTGAGTTTGATCCCTGGGACCCAAAAAACAAGTAAATAAAAGAGGAGATCGGTGGACAGGGGAGAGTATGTATCTCTTATCTATATGCTGCTAATACTCACATATTTACCTCTAATTTCCATCTGTCTAAAGAGTTCCAAAGTCCCTGATCCTGAAGCCTACTTCAATCCTATTTCATCTCAAATTGCCTCAGTCTTCCTTGTCATAAAAATTTGCTGTTAGGTGGTAATTAATAGTAGGATCAGTTAGTCCCTTAAGGGCAACCCTGAGGATAATCACAGGAACTGACTGGAAAGGGAATGAGCTCTAGGAGTCTCTTTTGGAGTTCACCGGTCACAAGAACTCACCAAGGTACTCAAAGCAGTCTCTGACCAACTAAGACACCTGCAAGATCAAGGAGACTCCCCAGCATTAGCTGTCCTCCAAAATTGCAGAGGCTTTGATGCCCGGACAGCTTTACAAGGTAACATGTGTGCTCTACTCCAAGAACAATGCTGCTTTTTATACCAACAAATCTGGTCTCGTCAGAGATGGGGTAAAACACCCTCAGGAATGGGCTTCCAAGCTCCTGAAGGCTCTTCTAATGATCTGTGTGTGCCCCTTTCCTCTTCACTGGCTCCTATGCCTCCTGGCTCCGTTACTGCTTATTACTCTTTTTCTTCCCTGTATAATTAATTTATCTCCAAGATATTTTCAGAAACAAATAGTGACCATCTTCTGGACAACTACTTGAGAACACCTCCGAATGGCCTTGCTTCTCCAAAACATTAAAAAAAAATCCCTTAGTTGCCCCCTCTCAGCAGGAGGTAGCCAAGAAAAGAACGCCAACCCCTTTTCCTATAACAGAGCTCCAACAGGGACAGCACCAGTTCTAATGAGCCCACCCACCATCTTAGAGAAGCATAGGTCTCACTGAGGGAAACGTTAAGTCAAGGAGGACATGCCAGCAGTTCAGGAGCAGTTCCCCAAGGACATGTCAGCAGGCTACAGAGGACACATCAACAACCCACAAGCCCGCTAGTTCTCCAACCCAGCCCCTCAAAAGCCCACCAAAAAAACACTATAAAAAAGCCTCTGAGCCTGTTAAGAGACACCTTCTGTTTTGCTCACACAGAGCTGTCCCTCTCAGGTGTAGCAATAAACTTGAGTGGGCTGTTGCGTTCCCTTCCCACTCAATTATCATAAGCAAACATTCTTTATGCAAATCTAGCACAGATAAAACAATAAAAGCTACCTAGAAAGATGAAAATCTGAAACTTTAAAGTGTATTAGTAATCATTCACATCTACTGCTCAGTTTAAAGTTCAACCTTTATAAAAGGGCTTATGAGCCCTTTTAAGTCTAGTTGAAGGGGGTGAATGAGGGGGGCATGACCTTGGGGACAATATTTTGTCCCTAGCCCTTCCTCTCTGGCACTTTCCCTCTCTCTGCTTCCTGGCCACCTAGAGGTGAGCAACTTTCCTCTGCCATGTCCTTTGACTATGCTTCTGTCTTGCCACAGGCCTACAAACAATGGAGCCAGGGCACCATGGAACTGAAACTTTGATGCAAAATAAACCTTTGCTCTGTTGAGCTGTTTTTGTTGAGTATCTAGTCACAGTGATGAAAAGTGAACGAACACATGCCTCTTTGAGGATGGTAATGTAGGAGGCAGATAATGAAATAAGTACAAAATCAGGAAAGTTCTTTCTTAATCCATCAAAATATTTAACCAGCCAGTTAATTCTTGGAGAATTTATTTTAATCAATAGTAAGTCCAAAATGGAATAATGGTCACTATCTAAACTGCAGTGTGAACAGTCCACAACTGTGCATCTCTAGAAATACATTTTGGAACCAAGGAGGAGGGGATAGTGGTGGGTTTTTGAAGGTTTTGGCTTTCTCCAAATATAATAGCACTTAGGTTAATTGAAAAAAAACCACACAGTTTGCCCTCCTTCATTCTCCAACTGTGAGAAATGTTTCAAATACCATGGTGAATTCCCACTTACTAATTCAATCATTTATTTCTTTTCTCGAAATTATTCAACTCTAACACTTTGTCAACAGGCACCATTTAATCTTATCAGAATCTAAGGATTCCATATTGAAGACTAAGTATTCTTATCAGTCCTATGGCAAAGTACTGAATAATGTCCACCTGCAAATTTTTTCTGAAATTAACTTTTATGTTTTCTATGTCCACATTTCTGAATGAACACAATTGGAGATCGAGGGTGCCATCATAGCCTGGGGAATCTTCTCAAGGAAAAGGAACTTCCTGACGCCATCTATCTGTACCATCATCTTGACCAATGCCCTCCAAATATTCTCCCTCCAACATATGCCACTAGTGAAATGGCAATAAGTTCTATTTTAAATACGGGAGTATTTTAAAAATTTACCTCTAATACCAAGTGAATAACACAAGAATCTGCACTTATGCAATATGACTAAGTTAGAATACTTGAAGAATTCACATATTGTAACTTATTCGATTAATAGTTTTCACATGTGTGAATAATTTCAATTTAACATGCCACAGATCTTGTCCAACATATGCAAACCAAAGCCCTGTAAATTAAATTCTACTTTATTACACAGAAATTTTGGTATATGCTTGTTTTTCAATAAATCTTGACTGGGAATTCAGCTTTTCAAATTCATTCTCACTTTTGAGACTGGCCCTTTAGGAGCTCACTAGTTAAAGGGATGCGACGTGGAATCATAGTTTTGCACGATCCTGTGTTTCAAGGGTTCATCTCGCCTTAATAGTTTTATAATACTGAGTCTTTCTATCACATTGAACACAGTATTTAAATTTTAATGACATGACAGCTTTAGAGTCCAAATTAATGTTCAAGTTCCTAATGCTCTAAGTCTGTATTAAAAACAGTAATTTCTAACATTATCTACCATGCAGTTGATTATTCTGGTAGCTTTACATTTTATTTCACTCTCACAAATAACCTTCCATCCTGCCATTATCCCTACTGTAATGGAAAATGACAACAGGGAGGTAAAGTCACTTGTCCAAGATAATACAGCTAAGTAAGTGATGGAGCCAAATTCCAACCCTACTCTTCTGACTTCAGAGTCTAAAGGTCTAACTTGCAAAACTGCTGGAATCACAGCTTTACAGTCTAAAGGTCTATGTTGAAAAACTGTTAAAAAAAAAAAACAAACCTGATCACAGGCTGGAAAAGATTTTCCAATTAAAAAATAAAAAAACTTGACCCCACAATAAATTCCTTACATTTTGTCTGGCTGCTGAGCCCAAATGTCCAAATGTCTCCGGTAATCCTTCTCTTGTGCAGAAGACGGAGTGACTGACTAGGGACCCCACGAGTTCCTTCTCATCGCGGTAGACTTGGAAGGTAGGGAGCACTAGGAAAGCCTGTTTCTGGTCACCAGCAACCTCTCCGCTGAAGCCGGGTGCGGGACGCGATGGCCTCTGCGCGGTGAGAGCATCTACGAAGGGCCAGGAGGCGCTGTCCCTTGCAGGACCCGGACTTCCACAGATTATCACCGCCCCTCCCCAACTTAACAAGGGGAGAAACTGAGGCCGAACCGGTGCCACAGTCCTCCAAGTGGTGCGCGGTGAAGGGCGGGCGCCTTCCTCTCCACACCCGCCGGACCCCACCGCTCCCGTCTCCCCGCCGGCGGGAGGGCACAGAGGACGCACCGGGCCGGTGCCCCGGTCATCTCCCATCCCTTCCCCCGAGCTGCCCCACTCCCGGGCTCTTCCCATCCATACCTGAAGCTGTAGGGGCAGCTCCGGGAAACAGCAGACTCAATTTCACCAACACAGCCTGGTAAGGTCTGCTCAGTTTCCCCGTCCGCGCAGCAGCCAATGAGCCTCAAGTCACTGCAGATGACACCCAATTGGAAGACAGCATACACTTTGGGCCAGGGTGGACCACATCCCTAGTCCCCGCCCCCAAGCCGGGACCTCGGCGCTCCGGGGCACTATTTGGCCGGAGCCCGTCGCTTTGTTTGGATTGGCTGGCGCGACCGTGTAGGAAGCCCTGATTGGCCGTGGAGAGATGGAATGATTCGGCGTGGGCCTGGGCTGGCGGGAGGCGCACTCGAGTTCCCTCGGGGTCTGGGGTTGTTCGTGGGTTTGGATCGGTGAGACTGCACCTTAGTCAATTAATTATGAAAGAATGCTGCAAGCCAAGAAGCGTGATGGGAGAAATAACAAGCACAGGAGGAGTGAAGAAGACGGCGAGGGATAGTCTGGTCTAAATTCTCCTCCATCCTGAAGATCCTCGTGTGTCAGGAAAGCTGCGCCTCCTCTAGAACTAAAAGCCCAGTGACCAAAGGCGACCGCGCAGAGGATGACCGCCTTCCTCAAGCGGTGAAAGCCCCAGAGTAAAACGCACGTAAACACAGCCACAGTCTAAGTTTGATCTTCAGCAAAACGCTTTTCCTCTATTCAGATCAGAGAGTTCAGAGGACAGCCTTGAAAGGGGAAAAGAGAAGGGGACGTGGCAGCTGGATTTAGCAAACGAACAGCGAGCGCCCTGGTTGTCCTCTGCTAAAAGAGGAGAAACATTTCTTTCCAGTGTCTGTGAAATCACACATCTAATGGGATTCTTGAGAAATGTGAATCCCAAACTGAAAATTGTTTGCAGCTATAATAAGATATGAAGGAACTTGCAGTGAGAATGAATAATGCCCCACGAAATTTTAAAATAGTCACACTGAAAGAATCACCAAACACCACGTGCTAGTTGTTGGCCATTTAAAAACTATTAATTCGTTATTTAAATATAAAAGGAATTTGGGGGTGGTACTAGGGGTCAAACCTAGAGCCTTTGGACTAAGCTATGTCCCTAGCCTTTTAAAATTTAATTCCATTTATTATTATTATTGTTATTGTTGTTGTTTTGAGAGAAGGTCTGGTTAAGTCTCAAAGTTGCACAAGCTGGGCTCAAACTTGGAATCCTCCTAGAGTGCTGGGATTACAGATGTGCACCACCTTACCTGGTGAATTATGTATGATTCCATGTGGGATGATAATAGAAAAGTGGTTTATGTAAGTGTGTGTGGGGGGGTGTATTAAGGCTCCATTCGCTTGCCAGTTATTATTAGCTAATTGTGTGCCTTATTTGAATTGATAAATAATTTGAGATGGTTGAGAAAAAGCTCTTTGTATTAAGGTTAATAATTTATATCTCACTGAATCCATAGAATAGCCCTCTAAGGTAGGTTTTTTTGTGTGTTTACAGATAAGAAACCCCAGATACAGACGTTAAGGCAGTCTACTTAATTACTGAATGGGTGAACTAGAATTTGACCAGTCTGCTGGACTCTAATAAAATTGGGACTCTTAATCCTCACAATACTCACACTTTGTCAAATACCTGTACACAGACATAGGGGCAAAAAATAGAAGACCTAACCCTATCCTGAAGGTTTATACAATTCACAGGAGAGAAAAACAAGCTCTCCTAAATATTTTAGATAAGTAGAAAATTAATGTTTCTCATTATTAGGAGTCCACTCTGTGAACATTGCTGAATTTCGTGTATTCTGAGAATCTTTTAAAACAATTAACTTGGCTTTTATTTTCTTTGAGGGGGTCCATTGCACGTCATTTGGGGCAGTGATTTCTTTCTCTCTCTCTCTCTCTCTTTTTTTTTTGTACTGGAGATTGAGCTCGGGACCTTGCATTTGCGAGGCACGTGATTTCTTGTCTTCTCTCCTCTCTGGTTCATGGGAGGTTTCTTTCTTTTTCTCTTGTTCCTCATCTCTTGTCCTGCTTTTCTTTGTTCAAAAGAAGTTAGAACAATTGAAAGCACCCTGTCTCTATCAAAGTGGAATGCTATTAAAACAAAACTTCAGGTTTAGGAAAAAAGAAAATATAATCTGGAGATTATTATTTAAAGATTTACTATGGTCAAAACAATGCTAAGCATTTTACGTGTATTATCTCATTGAATCCTATTAGCAATGCTTGATAATAGGCATGCAATATTTCTATTTTTATTGTATGTATGAGAGAACTGTAGTATGCAGGGCAACCTCAAATAATTTTAAAATGGGAAAACAAGTTTTCCACGGAGAGTTCAAAAATAAAAGAGGCAGGCATACAGTGAATTTGAACAACTATATGGAAGAGACAACAGTTTCCCTGCCAATCCATGACTGCAACTTGACTGAATATATGAACAGATTTAAAGAAGGAATTTCCAAGAAGAAAGACAAAAAATATCAAAACACAGAAATAATATATTCATAATTTCTGACCTATGGACAATAAATTTAGAAATAAACAAAATAAAGCAATAATACATTTACAAATATCCTAACTGCATGGTTTTTAAAAATCTGTTTTCCATACTCTTTGATTAAAGAGAAAATTAAATATTGCATACTGAGGAATAATAAAATATTTTAAAATATTGACATTAATAAAAATCTCTACATTTAAAAGCCAAGGAATATGACATTTTATACTCAGATAAGTTAAACTCAGAAAAATTCATGGCCTTTACTCAATTCAACAAATCTTTATTAAATGTCTGCCACGTGTGCCAAGAACTCAGGGTGAGAATTATTTATTTACAAATAATAGAAACCAATTGGATTAAGGCAAGAATTGTATTAGAAAGACATAGACATATGTTATAAAAGTTTGCTGCTCAAAGTGTGAGTCACAGAGAGGTGATATAGGCATCACCTGGCCAATTAGAAATGCAGAATCTGGGCCGGGGATTTAGTTCTGGTTCCACCGCCTGCCTCGCAAGCGTAAGGATCTGAGTTCGATCCCCGGTACCAAAAAAAAAAAAGAATTTACAGTCCTGACCTACTGAACCAGATTCTATATTTTACAAAGACACTTGGGTGATTTGTACACACATTACATTTTCAGAAGTACACCAAGAAATAGAAAAGCATCCAGTGTTTATGGATTGGAAGAATTGATATTGATAAACTGGCCATAGCAACTAAAGTGATCTCCAGATTCAATGCAATCTCTACGAAAATACCAGTGACATTCTTCATAGAACTAGCAAAAACAATCCCAATTTTATACAGAGCCACAGAAAACCCTGAATAGCCAAAGACATCTTGAACAAAAAGAGCAAAATAGGAAACATTACACTACCTGACTTCAAAACATACCACAAAACTGAAGTAAGAAAAACAGCTTGGTGTTAGCACAGGTATAGATGCATAGACCAACCAAACAGAAATAGAAAGCCTAGAAATAAACCTAAGCATTACCACCAAATGATTTTTTTTATAAAGATGCTAAAAATATGCATTGGAGAATGAACAGTCTTTTCAGTAAATGATACTGAGAAAATTGGGTATCTACCTGCAGAAGAAGGAAATAAGATCCCTACTTCTCCAGTTACAGAAATCAACTCAAAATGGATTATTGGCTTAAATGTAAGAACTGAAACTATGAAATGGAAGAAGAAAACTTAGGGGAAACACTTCACAACATTGCAAGAGTGAGATTTTTGTTTTGGCAACACTTCATAAACACAAGAAACAAAAAAATGGACAAATGGGATTGCATAAAACTAAAAAGGTTCAACAAAGGAAACAATGGGAGAAGTGACAATTTACAGTAGAATAAGAAAGAATATTTGCAAATTAAATAGCCAGCAAGGAATTGATATCCAGAACATATAAGGAACTGTAAAACCTCACTACAAAAAACAAAAACAAAACAAAGCAGCAAATAGCCAAATTTGAAAATGGACAGTGGACCTCTTGAAGAGACATTTCTTAAAAGAAGATATACAAATGGCCAATGCCAACAAAATATGATAAAAAAAATACTTAAGACCACTAACCATCCAGGAAATGTAAATTACAGCCACAATGAGATAACACCTCACCCCAATAAGAATGGCTAAAGTCATTATTAAAAGAACTAGAGATGACAAATGCTGGTGAGGTTAAGGAGAAAAGGGGAACTCTTGTACAGTACTCTGTTGCCAGGAATGTAAACAATGCAGATATTATGAAAAATAGTATAGAGTTTTCTCAAAAAGTTGAAAATAGAAGGGAATCGAATTAATATGAGAAAATTAAAAAATGAAAACAAAACCTTTGTAAATAGGGAGGGCAGAGAAATGGGGAAAAAATAAGAACCAAGAGAGATTATGTAAAGGTGCAAATTTCCAATGATGAATGTCATTATATTGTATTCCTAAAATGTACCAATAAAATTAATTTTTTTAAAAAAGAAAAGAAAATTTAAAAAATAGAACTATCATATGATCCAGGGATCCTACTATGGGAATATAACTCAAGGAAGGTTGCATCATAAAGAAATAACAAATGTTTGAGGCGATAGGTATATGTAATCTGATTTAAACACTACAGATTGTAAAATGTATAGAAATATCACATGGAAACCCATTAGTAGTACAATTTGATGTTCTTACATATCAGTTAAAAATAAATTTAATTCAAAAAATTGGAAAGCAAAGAAAAAGAGTTTTTTAAAAATACATGCCATGACATTCTCTGATGGAGGAGGATCTGAGCGTAATAAAATAGGTAAATCAATATCTATTTCAATAATGTGAGAAAAGACAGAAAAAGAAAAGAAGTACAGTAATTATGACTAAAAATGGAAGATAAATAATAATTAAAGAATAAACTAGTAAGCTAATTAATAAACTAAGCCTGGAATAAATGGATACTACAAGCAAACAATAATTGACAAAATGGATTTTAAAAGAATTTGAAAGAGAAACTTATAGAAATTAAAGCTTTAGGGGAAGAATTGCAGGAAAATGGCTGAGCAGTGAGCAACAACAACTCAGCTTCTCCAAGATTTGGAATCCAGACACTGGAAAATAACTTGTGAAAGAAAAAAAAAAGAGGAAAGTAGATCCACAGGAACCAGGAAGAAGGATCTGACAGG